CCGGTGGATACCCGGCCAGACAGCAACGCTGCAAGCTTCCCCGAGGCAAACTCCTTTCCAAAGCAGTCAAGCCTACAATCTCAATCCCAGTCAAATCTGGATACCTTGAAGAAGAGCACACCTCCGCAAAACAGCATGATGCCCCCTCCCATGGCCTTGTTTGATCCAGAGGACACTAACAGGCGTTTCGTCGGCACGCCTGATTATCTTGCGCCTGAGACGATCAACGGAGAGAAGCAAGACGAAACAAGTGACTGGTGGTCGGTCGGCTGCATCATGTTCGAATTCATGTACGGATTCCCGCCCTTCCACGCTGGTGAGGCTGAGCACGTGTTTGAGAATATCCTGGCACGCAAAATACAATGGCCAGACGAGACGGAATGCGAGATATCGGACGAGGCTAAGGATCTTATTAACAAGCTGCTCTGTATGGAGCCATCCAAGAGACTTGGATCTAATTTGGAGGACAAATTTCAGTCCGGTGGTGAGGAGATCCGGAGCCACCCTTGGTTCAACGGCATCAACTGGGACACCTTGGTTGAGGATGAGGCTCAGTTCGTGCCACAAACTGAGGATCCAGAAGACACGGAGTATTTCGACGCTCGCGGTGCGGTTTTGCAGTCATTTGCAGAGGAGATGGAGGATCAAACCTCTCCGCCTTCGTCTGCAGCAGGATCGGACTATCCTGATCGTCCTCACGATGCGCTATCCCGTGTGCGATCACAGGTTAACTCGATAAAACGTGGGCTTATGCCCCTTCACATCCCACCCCACGTTCGAGATCTGAAGACTCGACGCCTCAGCGAACCGGTTGTGGCGGACGATTTCGGCTCGTTCGCCTTCAAGAACTTGCCGGTTTTGGAGAAGGCCAACAAGGACGTCATCCAGAAGCTGCGCGCTGAAGCCTTGGCCTCGCAAAACAAACCCTCTACTAGCCCGGGGGGTAGCGTCACCTCACCCGGAGGTTCGACAGGCCTGGAGGGCAGCCCAGTCATGTCAATGCCTGTGCAGAGAACAATTTCGAACGCCAAAGCCAGGCCACAATCGCCCTCTGGACTGAGCGTGGCCAACTCGTCGCCCAGCCGAGCGTCTCAGCCATCCTCGCCGCTGTTGGTGTCCTTTGTGACTGGACAACAAGGGGAAGGACGACGCAAGGCATCGAGTACATCCTCCGGCCTCTCGCAGCAATCGATCACCTCACCTCAGTCCAACGGGGCGATCGACATCCCCAGGGTGCCTCCAAGCCTGCAGAAGGCTGCAACATCTTTATCAGCGTCACCTGTAAAGGGTCGGGGCCAGGCGCCTCCCCCATTGGCATTGTCACCGCAAAAGTTGATGGCAACGCCGAGACAATTGAGCTCTTCATCTACTGGACGATCCCGCTCCTTGACCGTTGGTTCTCAATCGCAGGAGGGCAGTCCGATCACCTCCGACGTGCTCTCACACCATCGCAACAGGCGTAGTCAAGTCTTCGACATGTCACCGTCATCCTCCGACAACGAGGGTGAAAAGCACAGTGCTCTGTTGCGTGTACAGCGCCGAAGGCAAAGTTCCCGTCGTCTCTCACAGATTGCCTTTGATGACGGCCCGATGTTCAGGCCACTGGACGTGCTGATTTGTGAAGATCACCCAGTCTCACGCATGGTCATGGAGAAACTCTTGGAAAAGCTGCGTTGTCGCACCATTTCAGTCTCTAACGGATCTGAAGCAGTACGCTACTCGATGAGTGATATCAAGTTTGACATCATCTTCCTCGAGTACCGGTTGCCACAAATCAACGGTGCCGATGTTGCACGTATGATTCGAGAGACGAAGAACACGAACTCGCATACCCCGATTGTTGCAATCACAGCATATTTGAAGGAGTTGCAGGCGCCGCACTATTTCGACTCGCTGATCGAGAAGCCGATTTCAAGCTCGAAACTGTCGGAGGTGCTGAAGAATCTTTGCCGATGGAAGCCCCAGTCACCAGGGCTGAGCCAACCTCTACTCCTGCCTCACCCTGCACCATCGGGCCTGCGCAGAGCCAACTCGCGCTTCGACGACAGCCCAACATCAAGCTCGTCCCTGTTCGCAGGTCAACCGGGCAGCAGTGTGGTCACCTCAAGCCGGGAAGACTCGATCAGTTCCAGTATGTTTGGAGACTCGGAGTCGGTGACCACTGATGAGGTCCCCGTCGTCATCAGTCGCAAGGCTACAGGTGAATGGGATGGCGGGGGCCTGGGCATTCGCGAAGAGGAGCTCCTCACAGCCAATGAGTCTCACAAGACTCATCCGCACTTGCTCACGCAGCATTCGGCACCCGCTCAAATCGAACAATCCTTGAAGCCTGTGCCTTCGCAACGACTGGGCGAGAAGCCAAGGGTCAAAAAGGAGGGAGTCGATAAACGCACAACTGAAGGCACCGATTCGGCAGACGATGAAGATGACGAACTGGGTCTTGCGCGCGAAAGTAAGCCCTTCCGGGTGAAGCCGCTGCTACCGAGTTCGAAGCTTGGAATAGAGATGATGCGCGCCGACAGCCACGATAGCGTTGCGCTGGGGTCAGAGAGTCTCCCAGAACCAATCACACAGGTGGTAACACCATCCAAGGAATTGGGAGCTCCGCCGCTCGACGCGGTGCCGGATTTGACGTCGCAGACAACGCCACCCAACACGGCGGGGTTGGCGGGTAGCACTACGCCGCTTGGGATTGACGAGACGCCGCGGCCAAACGCTGTGCAACGTGGGTCCAGCGGAGAAGAAGGCGAGCCAACGCCACGGCCGACGGAAAAGACGGGACCACTCATGGGATAAAAATCATGTCGAATGGCGAGCGGGCACCGGTTGACTGCGTGAGGGCAGCTCTGGCGAACAGACTGCTGAATCTGTACACTTGGTTTTCTTTTGTTTTATTTTCCTTATTTCCATGTTTCCAAGCGAGGCGTTTAGGGGTGGGCAGACGAACTGGCGCGAGGCAGACTGCACTCAGCTCGTATGGTTTGTGGCCCCGCGAGAACGACATGTGAAAGGCGTTCTCTGAGACGGGTGAGGGGAGGATCGTTCTGCTTCTTTTCAAGTCTCTTCATCTTTTTATCTCGTTCATTTCTCTGTCTCACCCTCTCTTCTCTTCTTTCCGTTCGATATTTGCGATCCAGGCCAAGCAACGTCGAGATGTCACCGAAAAAAAAAACCTTCGACTCTGGAAGCCAACAATCAAGCGCCACTCTCGAGTACGATTTCTCTACACATCATTCGTTATGGACACTCGTACTCTAGCAAACAACAACACAACACATATCTTCAACAAGACCGCACTCGGTCGTTCTTAGGGATTTCATTTGTTCTTTGTGTATACTTGGGAGAAAGAGGAACGCAGGCGCAGGCGGTTTGATCCGGCCAAAGGTTGGGTCATCGTCAGACAGCTGGGACAAGGGGAAGTAGTGCCAGCAAGGTTTCTTGGGGGGCCACGTGCTGATTATTCCACGGTGCACGGAAAGAAATGGCGTAAACGAGTCACAAAATTGAACCCCTTTTGACTCAATGCTGATGATGTCGGCGAATTGAATGCTGCTGACGCGCGTGGTGGAAGGGCAGCAGCGCGCAGAGTAGAGCGAATGTGGCTAGTGAATACAGATGGTGTGGCACAGCACGGCCTCATCCCGAGATGGGGGGGGGGGGGCGTCAGCCCTGATCGGCAGCGCCCTGTCAATGCCAAGGCGTCATGCGGATTCCCGGCTTGGCCTTCTTGGCATGTGGGTGGGAGCAGAATAGAAAGCTGCATGGCAGATTCGGCGTCCTCTGTCGACGCGTTTTTGCCCCCTTTTCGTAGTGTTTGGGCCGAAGAAAGTCGACGACGAGATGCAAGGCGGATGGAGCGGGTTCATTCACAGGCAATGGATCGAGCACGTTTCTTGTTTCGCCAACATGATTGGCCAATCTGGTGACCTCTGCAGCCGGAGATAAAAGCTTGAGTCGACGTCGCTCTCGGCCGATGGGGGAGGGGCCAGGACGCACGAGGGTGGGATCTGGGATGCTGTGTGGATTGTTCTGGGAAAGACGGCACGCGACCAGCGAGCGGCGGCGGGGCGGAGTGACGTACGAGGAACTCAATTGGGAGATGGAATGGTGGTCCCCTTCTTTGCTTGCCAATGTCTCTGGCGCTGAGGAAGTGTCCTGCCTTTTTTTTTTTTCTTCACCCGTCCCTTGATTTCACGCGGTAAGCGGGGGTCGGTTCGTTCGCCCAAGTGGGGATCGCCGGCCTCAAGTGAAGGTCCTTACTCGCCGCGCTGCCGACTGGTCCCTACCCAAACTCGTCAGCCGGTTTTGTGCAGCACCAACAGTGCTAATCCAGGGTCAGGTAGCCTTGTCTCTCAACCTGGGTCATCGTCTGCCAATCGCCGGTCCACTACCGCGACAGCGTGCTCAATCTACACGTCCCCGGCCGTCTGGTCGGCTGTTCGCTCAGGCTAGTTCTTGGGTGTGTGTGTGTGTGTGTGTATCTCTGGAGCAGAGGTGCCGGATGGACCCTGGACGGGCTGGCCATCTCTATTCTATTTTTTTTGCCCACCCACCTTCCTAGATCCATGAGAGAGAGTGGGGAGATGGCCAGATGGCGCGCGCGCGCCCCTCTGATGGCGGCGGGGGTGGACTGTCTGGGCCCAAAGGGTCATAAAATCATGTCAAAGCTGGAAAAGTAGGAGCTGGCTGCTGAAAGCGACTTTTCCTTCCCTCAGGAACATCTCAAGAAGGTTAAGTCACCCTTTGATCCTGCCCTCTGCTCTCGGGTGTCTACTCCCTTCTTCCCTCACGCTCTTCCCCCCTCCCCTCTCGCGACTCCCTCCCTCAACCGTTGCCTCCTCGTTTGTAGTGCTCCCTGGCTTCTGCAAGCCATCGACGCTATTACTTTTCCCTCTTCTTCTTCACCATCCTCGTCCTTGCAACAACCTAGCACCCACCGTTGCAACGTCGAAACGGTTCTCCAGGCCCACAGCCAACGTCCACCACACGGGCAGCCCGCCATGGCTGAACTCCTCCGCCACCACGAACACCACGATCCTCGTATCGGCGAGATCCCCGTCCCCCACGGCCCTGAGACGGGTGACGAACACGATGACTTCCCTCGCGAGCACACCACCGAACACGAGCGCCGCATCTTCGCCCACATCACCCGCCCAGATGACTCGTACACGCCCGAGGGCGTCTACTGGGCCGATTTGCCCCTCCGTCAGCGCATCACTTTCGTGACCAAGGTCGATCGCGAGGAGGCCGCCCGCGAGCTCAAAGCCACCGGCCAAATGATGAAGAAAGATCCCCTCTCGCCCATGGGCTGGTACTTCCGGAATGCCATCCTGCCCGGCGCCGGTCTCGGTCTTGAGGGTTACGTCCTGTTCTCCATTGGAAACTTGGAGCCGCTCTTCCACGCCGTGTGGCCCGAGTGCTGGGGTTCGTCTGGAACGGCGTGCGCCAGCAACTGGGTCGCCTCGGGTCACCTATCTCGAGATTGTCGGCATCATGATCGGTCAGGTCGTCGTTGGTGTAAGTTGGATCCCCTTCTGATTCGAGGTCCTTTC